TGCTATGTATCAATCAGTGCACGAAACAGGCTTGTGTCGTTCCATCGTTTCCGTTTTTTTTTCTCGTGTGGAGAACCCAACACAGTACTTAATGATAATTTAGTGTGTCGCATCATTGCCATTTTTCACAATATCAAAGTGAAAGCGCTTGACCATGTAACGTCAAATCATTGCCACTTATAATGTCCAATTAATGAATTTTCAAACATTAATAAACCATATCATAGAAATTATCAATGTATTTTTTGTCAAATTATATTTCCGTATACTGGTAACCTGGTAAAGAAAAAATTGCTGATAATGTTATTTTTAAAAAGGTGAAGAAAATTTCGGTGCACCGACCACCGATATTTTACACTCTTTGAATGCCGTTTCCATATGCATATGACTTTTCAATAATAGCGAAAAGATCTTTTCAAACATTGTAAAAAAAAATGAATAATTTTGGTCAGGTAGTTTAAAGAAATATTTAATTTAAAAACTAGAGTATTCCAAGGAACGCATATGTCGCCTGCTTCGTAGCTTCATTAAAGATGTAAATAAATCTAAGAGTGGTCAGCCTTTTATTTACTATTAGCTATTTAGTATTTAGTATAGTTTATTTCCTATTACATTTGCCTGCAAAGAAAAAATGGCATCAATGGATAGTATAAGACTGCGATAGAATCTGACAATCAAAGAAAATATGGTTCCCTATCCCTCAAATGAATAATTAAATTGACATTATTAGAAAACTATTTTTATTTATCATTTTATTAATAATTGTTTCCAACATTCCCCCGAAAGAGATTTTAGTCTGTCTTTACTGCAATTGTCAGTCTACACGATTCAAAATTTGTGAATTTGTAAAATACCGATCCCGATGTATTTCCTAGTATTTAAATTTAACTTTGTATGGTAACTGAATATCATACAGTTCCAAAGTACTGTATCATGACCTCAATGTGTTTCCAACAATCCTTCAAAAGAGACTTTACTGCAATTGTCAGCTACACGATCCATTGTGAAATACCGATCCCGATGTATTTTTATAGTATTTAAATGTAACTGAATATCATATAGGTTAAAAGTACAGTATCATGAGCTCATAAACATTTACAAATGCTAGTTATTAAAATCCTGCCTCTAAAAATTCAAAAGTCATAAGTGAAATTAAACTGCCACGGGTATTTTTTGCAAAGTATGTCAAAGGTCAAGTGGATTGTAATGCTGGTATTTTTCATAATGTCTTAGGACAAATAGTGCACATGCTAAATGGCATAGACTTACCTCTTATATGTCAAAAATATGCTTTATATCGGCACTATGAAGTATTTTGAAAAGTAGGTCAAGGGTCACGAGGTCGGTAACCCTGGTAATTTACAAAAGTCATAGTGCCAAGCAATATATGTGCAAATTATCCAATCCATACTTCTTACAGTTTTCGAGATAAAGGGTGTGACAGACGGACAGACAGACAGACGCCGGGTAAAGTGATCCCTAAGTGCTGCTCTGCTCTGCAGGCGACACAGAAAGTTCGCGTTTTTCGTGAACAACTTTTCGTAACAATTAGTAGAAGTCCTCCCTTTACTTTGCTGTAGAAAAGGCATTTCATTAAAAGAAACCTTTATGCGATAATTTTACTAATAATGGACCATTTTTAAATTGGTCACTGAAAAACAAATTCCGTGCAATTGTAATTTATTTCTTTGATCCGTGCCAATACCTTTTCATCCGAACAGGCAAAAGAAGGTCAGTTTTAATTAACCATTTGTTAATCATTGAATTAGCGATGTCTCGGGGACTTGTCAGTGCCATTAATTGATGATCAGGAATATAAGTAGTGGAAGGAGACACTGTCAAAGGGCAAGTCCGAGAGAATAAACAATCGAAGATTACTATACATATTTATTGATATATACATTTGTGGTATCTCTCTATTATATAAACATGCAGAGAGAAAATATCTTCATACCTGTATGAAGTTTTTTGAAGGTCATAGGTCATTACGTGACCTAATCACACAGCGCAGTAATATCTACATAAAAAGACTTACTCCACTTAGCAATTTAGCATGTTTTTCATGCATAAAAATGTACAAAATACGCAAGTAAAATAATCATTTTATTTACAATGTAAACGAGTATTTAATACAGTTCTTGATCGATTTTATATAGAGAATAGAAAACGACGTGTTATAAGTTTCATGTCTGAGCTGCATATCTCAACGTTTACCCTTATTTTCTCGCAGACCTCTGAATGCTATAAAAAAAATTCATTAAACATTACTCACAATAAACTTGAAAATCTGTTGAAAAATATCAATGTAATGCAATCACGCCACAAACACTGCACTTTGGAAGTTCGGTAGGCACACCTCCATCATCGAGATCGTTGTGACGTTGTTTTTTAAACAATGTAAGCTGTCGCCAGTGTCTCCATATCAACATCAAAAATTAATGAATATGCCTTACTGAAATCGTAGATTTTATGTTTTTGATCAAATTTTGTACTTGATTTCAAGTTATCTGGTCCGGACAAGTGTCTCCATCCATCCCTTTCCGACCGAAATTCCTCCAACTTTTTATTATCAAACATCGGACGTGTTTCTTGTGTTTTTTAACATCGAATATGGGTTCTCATGAATACAAAAAATTTCCAGACACCAATATGCTCACTATAATTGATCACAAGTAGCCTTTCACAGAATATCCCCTTCAAAACAGAATCATTTGCCAGATGAATTTGAAGTGTAACCGCTTTTCAAGCCGATTTACACCTAGAGTAATTTGTCAAAATCTACGACGTGCAGTTAGTGCAATATTTATATTGGATTACATTCAATTGTCCGTCTCAAATGTATATGTAAGTAATAAATAACAAGTTAGAAAACTTCAATGGGAATTGAAGTGGGTCGGTACGTGATCAAATCTTCTGAGAAGGCCTTCGGCCTTCACAGGATTTGATCACGTGACCGACCCACTTCAATTCCCATTGAAGTTTTTAAACTTGTTATTTATTTCTTAATTATTTAATGAAAGAAAAATATTATAGGAATGATTCAATCAATCTGGGACAGGGAAAACTAATCACTATCCTTAACAAAGTAAGTTAATGCAATGAAATAGATGTATTCCTTGTATGACGTCATTAAAATGAGTAAGATCTGTCATGTACAAATGTATGTATGACTGTATAAACTGTGCAATCATTTATTATGTATTTTTAACTTATTTTAATTCTGTTAAATTGTATATACATGTGTTATACTAACTGTTTTCAAATGCATTATGTGCTATCACTTTAAGTGAATTATGACCCTTTAATGTTTATCTATTTATCTAATACTGCAAAAAGGGCATTGCAGTTTTCTATTCCTTGGGAGGTTTACGTCATTAAATTTCATGGAGCTTTTTCTGAAGAAAAAAAAAACTATAATCAGTATAAAGTCTTGCAAACTAACGAAATATATTGTATACATTATACATATATATTTTTTAAGGTCTGACGACACGTTGCTTGAATATCTGTTTTGTATCTCTTCGTAATATACAACAAATTGATCATAATTATCATTGTCAGCTGATTTTTAAACTGTTTTTAAAATGTCTAAGTAGATAAAGACACCAAAAAATGTGATATTTGCAATGTCAGTGATTTCAAATTGGATTATACAGTAAATAGCATCCTCTGGTATCTTGCACAAATGTCTGGTAAGGTACCTTATTTTTTTGTGAGGAAACTGGTCACACTAGCAATACTTTAATGACAAAGTCTTGGAAAAAATTATATACATGTATTATTGAGGAACGTGTCGTCTGACCTTAATATGTAGTTCATAAATCTGATTGATTTGCCTCATATCACCTGCAAAATTATATTTTACAATATTCACTTGAGTTACTAAAGATAACTTAGAGAAAATCAAAATATTTTTATGATGGTGAGAAGTCTTTAAAAGTCACAAATTCTTATATAATGAATGTGTGGGTGTGTGTGGGTGTGTTTTTGTTTTTTGTTTGTTTGTTTTGTTTTGTTTTGTTTTGTTTTTTTTGGGGGGGGGGCTTTTTGGTTCCAAAGAAAACAATACAACAAATATAGTCCTTTGATTTGGTCAATCCACAGATATATCGACTTCGCAGAAAAGCATATTGACTAAATTCGTTTGTTTGCAAGATCTGCGAATGTCATGCATTGCTTGGTTCCTTACACAGAGACTGTGTCCTGGGCAACTTCAATACATCAAATTAATATTTTTGTAATAAGAATGCTGATTTTAAGGACAGTTTATCAAAGTATGATTTGTATTCCACTGCAGTATATTATAGTACTCTTCATCGCATGTCTTCATATACATGTAGTAGTGTATCGCAAATTCCCCTAATAAAGAGTATGGAATTTTTTTTCATATAATACTGAAAAAGATATATTGAATAAAAATTTTTAGTTTTACCTAATATTTGATTTGATGGATAGAATACCAATGTCCACTTGAAACTCTATACTTAAGAATGTGTGTAAATAAAGGTTCAATTTGTTGTGCCCTGTTTTTTAAACTGAATGTATTTAGCATATGGATGGCCAAGTTTTAAAGAATATTCCAAAAAAGAAATAACTCAGTAGTAGGATTCATACAAAACAACGTTTAATATGAATTTTCAACACACATAATCACTCGGATAATCTCTCAGACAAACATACAGACACGTGCAAAATAGTACAACGTGGTACACTTATAATTATGCTTCATTGAAGTCCGACCTGCATATTGTCAATGCAAGCAGAAATCGTTGTTAGTGTACATAAAATATATAAGGAGAGTATTTTCTTGTACAATCTCGGTCAAATCGAGACAGAAAAATCTACTTATATGACATCGTATGTAATACTATTGAATTCTGCAAATATTCATTAACAGATAAACTTATGAGAAATTATTATGCCTGGGTTCTGTTAATGTCTTATGATAAACAATGGTATGACATTGCACCATTCACTTACGTTACTCGATTTGTATGTGATTAATGGAGAAGACATCGGCACACTCATACAATGGCGTACGGAGAATGCAAATTTCGGCATGTCAACAACGTACATAGAGGTTAGTTCATACATTAATGAAATGTGTAATGTTTACTCTTCAGCATTTAAATATCATAGATGAGAGTTTTTGAGACAACTTGTAAACACGTTTCTGGCGAATCCACTTGGGAAAGCGCAGTATTTTTGAACGCAGACATACACTGGCTCCTCTGATGCGTGGGACTTCGCGTCTCCATGACAACCACCGACGCGGGTTTCCACCAGTCGCGCCTCGGAAAGTCGGCACACATCGTTGACTCAGTGAATCAGAATGTGCTCATCGTTAGTATAAAATATTTGGTCAAATCAACATAAATAGTGTGAAATCACAGAACTTGGAATTTGGGCCACGATGACGTATCCTTGTACTCTAGACAGTCTGTGTGATTGGCTCTAGGAATCTGAGGAGCCGGCATAGACCCGTATGATACCTGGTTTCCGTTCATTTGGTTCATTTGATTTGACATCACCGGAAGTTGCATGTGGTTGAGGTAGCCCATGTCACTATAGTAACTAGAGGGTCCATAATTTTGATGAGAGTAAGAGGCGTTTTGAGTGTTTGGCATGGAATAACCACCTCGCTGCATGCAACTATTGGAGTTCAAAAGGTCGTGAACGGGCGGAATGGAAGCTGGACTCCAGATTGACGACTGACTGGTCATCGTGTTCGTAGGTGGCGTACTGACCACTGGGGGTTTACAGTAGACTGGGGAGGTAGACGCTGGGGGTGGTGATTTCGCCTTCTTTGGGGTAGGAGGTTTGGATTTTCCTTCCTGCGCTTTCTGTTGTTGTCTGCATTTGGCACGTCTGTTTTTAAACCAAACCTACCGAGAAAGAAAATAAACCCTCAAAGTCAAGTCTCCTAGGGAAGAGTGTTTTAGTTTTAGAGGCTTATGATATAAAAATAAGACCATTTGCAAATACAAAAGGTTAAGTCAAAAGGCAATGTATGCATTAGGTAGATTTTCAATAATTATTGTTATTATGCTGGATGTGTTTGATGACAATATCGGTAACAACCTGTGTGTGCATTTCAGATTTAAGAGATTAGCAGCACCGCATTGCTCTCAAAAAGGTTAACATGATGTCCTCTAAATCTCAAATGTATATATAATTCGCAGCTTAAGAGCAGTTAAGGTGAATTGTTGACTTATTTTAAAATACTGAATGATTAGCCTCTTGCATCAGAATTACAAACACTTTAACCGAAAATCCTATTTGATTTTTTTAGCTGAAAATTATCAGGTTAGGTAGTCTGGTATGAACGGATTTGAGAGAAAAAGTTCTTCGGAAGTCATCGCGTAAATTAATAAAATTAAAGTATGTCTTGCGAAAACGGCTTTTTTTAGTACTATCTAACAAATATTCACACGCAACCAAAAAAATATAATAAAACAAGTTTCTCAGTACATTATTATAATTTCAATTCACAGATGTTTTCCTTATTTACGTTGATCCGTGACTGTCACACAATATTGTGTTACCGTCGTCAGTTCTCAATATTGTCACACCCATTTTTACGGTTTCCAATATTCCCGTTACCCTCCCGTTTTATCGTGAATGTAAAATTCCTCGAACTGTCAAATATTCCATAAAAAAGGACAACAATTACTTTTCACGTTTGGTATAAAAACATAAAGTTGGCATGTATTCATTGTCTAATTGAAAGGTGATGTTTGTACAGAGACAGTTTTACCGAGTCATGTTAATTACTATTAATTTGTTTAATTGAAAGAAATAAGCGGATAATTAGATGGACAATAAAGCATTAATGCTGAACCCTTAACGCTTCAATGCCTTGGGCTGGAAGCTCAATACTTTAGAACGGTGCCTTACTACTGGCTTGTTTAGTTAAAGAATTAAAGGAAAAAAAACAGACGAAACGGAAATATCCAAACATCCCCGAGCTATTTATCTTTCTACATTCCATTTACAGATGTTTATTCTAATCATTATTGTCTCCGGCTTCAGAAGAGCGGGTAAAGCTTTCTCAGGCCATTACAAGCAACACCACCATCAATGACCAAACAAATCAGGGTACCGAAACAATCCGGTAATTAACACCAAGCGATTTGACACCTGCTTGTATATTATCCAAATATCACAGTGTCATTGTTACACACACATCAAATAAACAGAGAATCCGGAATAAAATTACCTGTACGCGGGATTCTGGAAGGTTTATCTTCAGGGCTACTTCCTCTCTCATGAAGATGTCTGGATATCTGGTTTTCTGGAATAGTGATTCCAGGATGTCTAGTTGGGCGCGGGTAAATGTGGTCCTTTCCCTCCTCTGTTTCCGGGGGTTGGAGGCTGAAGACATATACATGTCTAAATAATTAAACGCAGATGTTACTCTGCCGAAATTTAAGGAGGTAACACATACAGATACACAATACAAAACAGTCTACATTTACATCAAAATTAAAATATATATATATATAACATATACACATAAACAATTCGATTGGTCAATATCTGGAAAGAACCTTTATAATTTATTTTAGAATTAAGGATTTATGATCATATCATCATGTATATAAAAAATGTTTTATGATTATATGACTATAGGAATATGCTCAAAAGTGCAAGTTGTTAAACAAGTTTTCTGTGAGAAATGCATTCTTGCAGAGTAAGACACATTCGATCCAAGTTTTTAAAACAGCCTTTTTACATAGATTTCAAATTTTAGTATTGTTTAAACTAACTGAATTTAAAAACCAAAAATTGAGGGAAAATATGACCTGCTTTTGACCCTGCACGATAATGGAGAATTTTTAGATTTCAAATTTAGACGTGGCACACATGGCGAACATTGTCGCACATTGTTGCCCAGACCGGCTTTCTCAGGTTATGAATTAAATGAAGTCTTTCTTTGAGAATACATGTTATAATTTCTTTACCAGGACCGGGGAAAAACGTGACCGTCTGAAAGAGAAAAGTTGTCGCCGGACACAGATTTTAGAATAATTTTTTTTTATTCCATTCATGTTTTCTTCACAAATACTGCATTTGAAGTGTACATTAAGTTGAAAAAAAATATTGCCGAAGACATAAAAAAAAGAGATTTTTTAGGAGCGATTAAAAAAAAAAGTTTAATGTTCAATGCTAATTACCCAATGATGGAACTTATTTTTTTTTTTTACTTCAAACTTTAAATTGTGTCCAAAACACAAATTTCGATATGGTCATCTAGAGACGAGTAGAAGAGATCGTTTTCTACAATGTAACACATGACAGTGGCCAAAATAAGACATAAAAGTCTCCCGGGTGGCTCCCCTAGTCCCGGACAATACTGAACAGTAAAGGGATGGATATCAAAGAGAACAACAACGGACCCCGTGGGGAGATCCGCCATTATTCCTGACTTCCGGAGCGTGAACAGGAGTGCTCGCCATTTTTCGTTTGGTCACTATAATTGGTGAAGCTGGTGAGGACCTATTTCCTGTCCATCTCATTATTTGTATATTTCTCCCGAAAGTAACCCTAATTATTTACTCGGTCCCGTTGACGAAAATAAAATGCTTATTTACTGACAACATTGATCCTATAAACTTAGCAGGAGTCGATTGACATGCTTCCTAAAAACCTAGACTTGAAAATGACACAAAATGTGAACTTTGATTAGCACGTTCAAGAACTAAAATACTGTAAATTTCAATTCTTATTTTCTACGAATGAATTGTTTGAATCTAAAAACAGAAAGAGAATGAATCTGGAATCTACGTCACTGTGTTTACTCTGCAGGAATTGTCTGTTTTTTTTTTTTTTTTTTTTTTTTTTTTTTTTTGAAACGTCTATAACATTTTTTGTAAAAAGGAAATAAAACTGAACAATACACTATCATAATAATAATAGTAATAATAGAAGAAAATAAATGAAAACATTAAAAAATCTTACCAGGGTATCCCATGGCAGGGTGCATCATTTCCACATTTGGTGAGGATAAGCTGATTCCATTGACAGAGTATGGGGGGACCTTACTGTTCGGGGGGAGAACAGTGGATTGATTGTAAGCCATGCTGGCGATTGACATTGCTGGCTGGGTCTGGATATGTGGGTCGGGAGAGGTTTCTAGGTACACTTCCGTGGGGGGAGCGGCAGGCTGGGCTGACGGGTGACCTTCGGATTCAGTCAATGTACCAGTTTGAGCTGAAGGGAAAATATTCAGATATGACTGAAGGGGATCATCGTATCAGCTTATTCCCCAGAGAGGTTTTGTCAATATGATCACATAATTGTGTATCTGTTACAACATAATGTCCCAATGAAGTAAAAAAAACATGTACACACACGGATATGTCCATTTGTCCTCTCTCCGGTCTCTGATTTTTAATCCCACCCCTTTCTCCCCGATGCTACTATCTGCCTTTAATGGGGATTGGTTGTTATCTGTCATAGGCAACCAATCGGGTTAATCAACATCGGATGCGGTTTTATTTCTTTTTCAATGATGATAATCACAGGGGCATCAAAAATATTAGGATATTTAATCAAGGAAAGTTTAAGCTCAGTTAATTTCTGGTTTTATTCCGACTGGCCGTTATAACTTAAAAAAAGATTCATCGATGAAATTAATCGCACTTCTTAAGCTTATCCTAAGAATAACTTATTTTTATGTGTTGTAAAAATACATTTCAAAATATTCATTTTATTTTTTTTTTCGTCTCTTGGACCTAATATCTCGCGTAATGTGGATAAATTACTTTGCGTAGCATAAAATTGGATGTAAGCAAAAAAGCAAGTTATCAAAGAAAAAATTCATTCGGGATAATTAGCGATTCTGTCGGATTTCATTAAAAAGCGATGTTTCGTTTAATTATTCATTAAACATCGTCCTTGTGCATTCACTGCAAATAATGCCTAGTTCTACTTCAGAGTCCCAGTTCCTTTGTAAATTTGATTTTGACTGTTTATTTCTATCCGAAATTTTCTCTCCTGGGAAACATCATTTCATTGTAATAATTAACAAAGTGGAATACCGATAATATATGATGGGGATTTTTTTTTAATTAAAGAAAAATGATAAAATGAATGAATGTTAACATGTTTTGGTCATTTCTTTGATTGCTTATTTTGTTTATCTTTTTTTCGTTTATTTATTTAATTTTTTTTTAAAGTACATATTTCAACTAATTAAATTTAATTAGACAATTGAAATTCATTTCGACCTTATATTATAAAAATATTCATCCATCCCATTGAATATCTTAAAAAGGGAATGCTTTGTTTACATTTTGTTGCCTGTTGGACAAGGATGAAACAATGATCAAATGAAACTCGGTGGAGGGGATGTGCTTCGATGTTGGTCCGGGTAACTCGATACCCCGGCGACTACGACAAAAAAGAGCCCTCTTTCTTTCCGTCCCTGATTGCGCTTTCCCAAAGACAAACAAATCCCAGGATATTTGAACCGGGGTTGGTAAACAATTTTCTTACAAATTAATTCGAATCAAGTTCACGCTGAAAATTATCGTTTTCCTGAGGCGTGATTTGTAAAGACTGGAAACAAAGTGATAGAGCGGAAATATTTGCCGAAACCAAACTGCAGACCCAACAAGAGTTGTTCACAATATATGTGCAAATATGGAAAATCATATTGACTCTCTCCGAACCATTTGTTTAGAAGCGGTAACTCGCCTATTTACTTCTAATAATGATTCCACGAGTCTCTGTACCGGCCAGGATTGGTCAAACAAATTCCAGCAAATATTTATTCCCCAGTGTTTGCTCAATGACAGGAAAGCGGACAGTTTTAACTCAATTAAGAGTGTGATTCCACGTGCTTTTCACACCTAGGTTTATGATGAGTGAGAAAATACTATCATATCCTATACAAAAAGCATAGAAGAGTGACATACACAAATTAATTAAGCAATAATTGAATGATTGGTTAACCGTTGAAGTATGACAATTCTTATAATTAGCGAATACCTGAGTTAAAAAAAAATTAGTTATATTAATTAAAATTGATGTTTATCTCTACGTGTAACATAATATAAATCAAAGGCAATGAAAAAAAATAATATTTTAATATAATGAATTTATTTTAAATCAAGGTATATTCCTCGCATATAATTTGATTTTAACGAATAAAATTGTGTTGCTGGTTTCCATGGGGAATTGTTAGAACTAGACAACTATTTCCGTCGAATAAAAAGGTGGGCTTTTGTTGACGATTGAAAATGTCCACACACGTTCAGAGGGCCATACTTGACTTGTTCTAAATTTATCAATCCATCCCATGATAAAATTCTCAATACTTCGGACGTTTGCTTGCGTAACACATGAGAAATTTTATCAACTTCAAATATGGCCTTCCTAATATTTCGTCCGGCAAACAATAATCACAACATTATCAGGTCAACTTATTGACCAGTCACCGGTAGCCCGTCAAGAAAGACTCCGATGTTTACAAATTCAATATCGGAGACATATTCACTTAATAATTAAATGAGATAATTCTTCGCGACAAGGTTAATAATCTGCTATGAAGTTCTTTCTAAATGTTAACCAAGAGACTTGTAGAGTGTTACAGAACAACTCGAGTAAACAAAGTCCAAAATATAAATAAATCTAGAAGGTTAATTTATCTCCAACATCTTAAACAGCATAAGGAGTTTACATCTAAAAATCATAATTATTTTACTTTGTAATAGGATAGGAACAATTTAATTTTTCAAATCAGATTAACACATCTAATGTGAAAATCTCTTGTAATAACATTACACACACACACAAGATAATCTACTCTCTTACCCTCTATATCCTCCGCGGATACGGTCATCGTGCAATCTCCGACCGACATGGCCCTCCGAAAAATAATCTCCTTAAATTATTTTTTTTTATTAAAATATTCCTTTTTTTAATCGTATTTAAAAAAAAGAATTCCAACAAGCAGGTAAGTCCGAAATAAATGTCCACTGTAGCCTATTTTTGTTAAGTGTATATTTTTCGTTGACGTTGATTGGCCGTTTAGAATCTACTCTCCAGTAATGACTCAATTAGTGAAGAACTAAACGGAAGCCTTGCGTATATAATGGACCTTCGGACACAGGGTCCTTCACTATTAATTACAGGCCTATTCACGCAACACAAGGGTCTTTTAAATATTTTTCAACATTTTAAAATTCTAACTACTCCTTATTTGCAAAAGTGAGACCATTGACTCCCATACATGTGAAAAATTCAGTATAAAGTAATATATATTTTTGTTACATATAAATATAATTATGCATCTAATTATTGCATGAGCAAGCCTGGCATATATGGACATCAATACAAAACATTTTGGTACAGATATAATCTGCGAATTAAAATAAGTGTATTAAATTTAATACGACTTACCAGTCATACAGAACTATTAGGCAGATATTTCGTCCGCTGTCACCTGTGAATAGAGACAATAA